AACTCTTTTAGCCTTTTTTTTTTTGTCTGGGAAGCTATTTCACCATCTATTTTGAAAGATAGCCTTGCTGGATAGAGTACTCTTGGTTTCAGATCCTTATTTTGCATTACCTTGAGTACTTCATGCCATTCCCTTCTGGCCTGTAGAGTTTCTGATGAGAAGTCAGCTGACAGCCTTATGGGAGCTCCTGTGTAGGTAACAGATTGCTTTTTTCTTGTTGCCTTTAAGATTCACTCTTTGTCTTGAATTTTTAGCATTTTAATTATGATGTGTCTGGGTGTGGGCCTCTTTGGATTCTTCTTGCTTGAGACTCTCTGTGCCTCCTGAACTTGTGTGACTTTTTCCCTGACCAGGTTAGGGAAGTTTTCTTCCATTATTTCTTCAAAGAGGTTCTCTAACCCTTGCTTACTTTTGACCTGTTCTGGTATTCCTATGATGCAAATATTATGTTTCATGTTTTCCCACAGTTCCCTTAGACTGTCCTCCTGTTTTTTAATTGTTTTTCTTTTTGGAGCTCTGATTGAGTGATTTCTTTCTAGCCTATCTTCTACTTCGCTGATCCGATTCTCAGCTCCCTCTAATCTGCTGTTTATTCCTTCCAAAGTATTCTTTTTTTAAAAAATATCTTTATTGATTTTAAAGAGAGGAAGGGAGAGGGGGAGAGAGAGAGAGACACATCAATGATGAGTCATTGATTGGCTGCCTCCTGTATGCCCCCTACTGAGGATCGAGCCTGCAACCCAGGGATGTGCCCTGACCGGGAATTGAACTGAGGTCTCCTGGATCCTAGGTTCCTATTCAACTGCTGAGCTATCCCTGGCTGGCCCAATGTATTCTTTATTTCTGCTGTGTAATTCTTCATTTCTGACTGGTCATTTTTCATAGTTTTCATATCTTTTTTCATGCTGTTGAGCATCCTTACAATCAATATTCTAAACTCCATTTCATTTAGCTCTTTTTCTGGAGACTTCACTTGTTCTTTCATTTGGGGCTTGTTTTTTGTCACCCCATTTTGGCTGCCTATTTGCGTTTGTTTCCGTGTATCAGGTAGGCCTGCTAGTACTCTGTCTTTTTAGATAGTCTCTGGTGCAGGCCAATGTCAGATGCTGTTTGTGACTGGCCTTTTGTACCCTGTTTGGAGCGATCAACAACCCACAGCTTGCGGTCCCCTCTGTTGGGGCTGGGTGTGTTTGGGCAGGACCAAGATACCAAAGTCTGCTTTTCCAAGGCCCCAGTCCAGAAGCAGATCAGGCAAATACTGAAAGCACCCTGAGGTCTGCCTCTGACTACGGGCTGATTAATCTGATTCTCTTCATGAGCCTCAGGCTATAGAAACTCCCCGGGGTAGGGCGAGAGGTTTTCCAGCAAGGTGGGGCAATTGCTTCAGCCTCAGGCAAAAGCTGCTTGGAAGGTAAATGCCTGCCTCTGCAGTATGGGGGAATGACTCAGCACAGGAATCCAGAGGCCTGCCCTCTGAGCTCTAGTTCCAGAGCCTACAACCCTAGATTCTCCCCACACAGCTCAGTCCACTCTGCCCTCCCTCTGCCGGAGCCCAAGGTAAGTGGCCACACACGAAACTTTGTGCATTGGCTCTTTAAGAGGGTGCCTGCATTTCCAGCCATTTCTCCCTGGCAAACAAACCCAGCTGCTTTTCACAGCCAGGTGTTATGTGGACACCTTTCTCAGTTCTAGTGCTTTGGGCTGGGAAGCCCAGCCTGGGGTGTAGGCCCTAGCGCCCTCAGTGGGAACCCCCACACCTGAGATATCCCTCTGGACTTTCAGCTGCTGCCTGTGGGAGCCCAGCCAGCCCTCTTGTGCCTCTGCACCTCCTACCAGTATCTAGTGGTCTCCACTTTTCCTCCTTGGTTATGAGAGTGCTCTCCAGCTCGTCTTCAGTTGCAGTTGATTATTCAGGATGGTTTTCCTCAATTTTAGTTGTAATTCCAGTTTGGTCCCCGGAGAGTGTCAGTGTAGCTTCCACTCAGTCCTCTGCCATCTTTAATCTCCGGTGCCAGAATGCTTTTGTTTGGTGGTATCAGAAACCCACCCCTGATGTTGAGCCAGGTATGGCTATATCCAGGAGTTCAAATGAGGTTGCAAGATCCAGGTTTTCTCTATCTCCTGGCTCTGCTTCCTCTGCCCTTCTTCTATTCTCTGACAGGCGCCCGTGGCCTCCAGGCTGCCATCTCATAAATCCAGCAAAAGTCATGCAGTTATCTGATTGTACTGATTTAGATCACGTGCCCACCTGAACCAGTAACA